ACGAGAGAGGCTGTGACAGCCACATAAAGAGACAGACTGCCTGTCCACGCCTCACTTTGCCTGTAGCACACATTTACAGAATAACTGGCAATATTCAAGCTGCTTAAACATTCAGAGCCCTGTCACTGATGTTAAATTGCCTCTTCTTAGCGATCAAATACCGGGGGAGTATATAGATAATAACAACAAGACAAACAAAAACTATTCATCTGTTTATAGCTAGCCTTGTTAAAATGAAGTGTCTCGGCTGAGATAAGAAATGGCTGCCACATCTTACAAGGTGTACAAACAAAACCTGATTCCGCTTTATCACTGCCTCGTGTTGCTTTTTGTTATCTGATCAGGATGCACTGCGACGTCGTCTTGTATTGTGTGCTCGTCTGGCCACAAATGTGTGCATGAGACAGTGGAAAGGCCAGGCATTTGTTGAGCAACATGGAAGTTAACCTTAATTGAAAGCAGTGGAACAGAGGACTGAGATACGGCTCCCTTGATGACAGTAAACAGATCATTTAAATTAGATATTTATGTGTGATTATTACAAAATGTCAGGGCAATAACAACATTTCAGTAATTAGGAAACTGCCTGCAAAAGCACACTGTGGCCAATTTTCACTAGAGCACACCCATTAGCACACCAAATTGATTATGGCCACTTTCTCCACTTTTTTGTGTTACTGACATGAGCTATTATTCAGAAATACTCTTTCAAGTCATTCTCTGATGGTACACATGAAATTAGGTGATGTAATACAAATTACTCTATAACTTACAAACATTTTCCCCTCAAGCTGAGTTCAAAATCAGAAGGTTTAATTATTCCAAAAAAGCATCAACCTCCAAAGCACAAGAAAACAGACTGACTAAGACAGACCATCGACTGTGTTCATACAAATGAACCTCCATTACAGGGTGCCAGTGTTTTCTGTTTGACATCAATAAGCTCTTCAGACATTACCACAAAGAATGAGACAGTGTCAAATGTTATCTGTCACTTCAAGTGTCACTGTTTCCAACTACAAAATATATCATATTTCCAGGGGGGATTGGTTAGCAGCTTTCTAGAGGTATGCTGAAGACAAAGCAGTGCAAAGTGTCTCTCAAACAACTTATCTGTCGCGTTCACAGGAAATAACACTGCAGATAACTAATTTCAGATTCTGTGCATCTTCTGTAAATTGTAGTCCTCGTGAATTCATTGAGAGGAAAATAAGCAACACATTAGTATGAAGGTAAAGTGGTGTTCAAATTGGGTGTAAATAAAAGATGGTTCAAGCAGAGCACATGTGGAGTGTCTATATTTATACATTTTTTCATCACTGCTGTACCGGCACTAAAATCTGGGATAGAAGTGTTCCTGTTCTGCTAATTCTCTCACAAATTTGTTATTTTGAGCTTTAAGAATCAAGTTATGAAAGTTACATACAATAAAACACAATAGGCCTCATTCATATGTACAAAGAGATGTTTTCACTCTGGCCATAACATAAGTTTGCACGCAAAGTTAGTATCGTATTCATGACACGTGTGCCCAAGCTGATTTTTCTTTTACCACGCTGCGCATGCTAGTGAATCAAAATCACTCTAAACTATTTGCAATCAGCACACTGCCACGCCCCCATTTCTCTATATAAGGAAATATGTTGGCCTAGAAGTGTGTCATGGAAGTTTCCTCCCACATTTAAAAGGTACATCAGTGTTGGGCCATCGGTGAGTGTCTGTGAATGTCATGGCAGTCCAAAACAGCTGATGAGCTGTTCGTCTCTCTCTCTTTAACTCTTTGAACCCTGGAGTGACATCACTTTGCTTGTGCTGCTTTCAGACGCCCTTTGCAAGGATTTAAACCTTTGAATCCAGAGTAAATTGGAGTGATTTCTTTCAAAAACATGGGGGAAAAAAGGCAATTAGCAAATTGGTAAGAAATGTCCCACAGCTTGCAAAAAAAAAAAAACATTTCGAAAATTATTTAAAAAATTGGGAAAAAGAAAAAAAAACTAGGGAAAAACTATATTAATAATAATACATTTTTAAAATTATGTTACAGAATTATTATATTTTTTCAAACACTCTTTCCAGGTCATTTCCTTGTTTGTTTTTTTAATATTTCTTCTAAATTTTCTCTTTTAACTAATTTGTTGCTAACTTTTGGGGTCACTCCTTCTTTTCATTGCTTCTTCCCATGTTTTTAAAAGAAATCAAGCCAATTTTCTCAGGTTTCAAGGAGATAAACATCTAATGTCGGTCTCTGAAGATGCACTCTCTATTGTAGGCACTGACTGCAATGCCATCCTTAGCATGTGCTTGAAAGGAAGATCAGAATCTTTTATAAACCCTGGATGCCTGTTGATGATGTTACTAATAAAAATAATAATAACAATAATAATAACAATTTCATTGCACTAAAATAGGTGGGAGTAGCCATCATAACAGGCAGATAAAAAATAAATAAAAATTAAAACCAAAACTCCACTGTAAGCTTGGACTGGAACACTTAGTATTTATAGTCAGAGTTTTTAATTTTATCAGTCTTTGATGTGAATAAAAGAGCATGAATAAGTGCATGCAATTAGTAAATTACCAGTTTTAAATATTGTTTATTGAATCCTATTTAATGAACACTGTTTTAATAAACTACGCATTTGGTTAAAGGTTGTGTGTTTACATTTTCTGACACAGCCAAACCCTCATCATTTGTGCATACGCATTGGTCTCAGATAGTTCGAAATTTGTTGGCAGAGTACAAACAAATCAAAGTAAGAAAATATCGATGAATCCCAGATTTCTGACTAAAGCATTAGCATGCATGGTGTTAGCACAGATTTGTGGGTACACACTGTTTGTGAATGAGGCCCATTATGCGTAGATTTATAAATAATGACATGACTCAAGGACAGTTAAAAAATTTCCCACCTCAGATGTACTTGGTCAACTGACGAACAAGCAAATCTGCTGCAGCTGATACATTAAAGCATCCAAATTCAAACACCACGCTGACTCTGATGTGTGTTAAAAGCCCTGTTTAAACAAAGAAAATACAACACTGCTGATTCCATCTGTCTGTGAAGGTGATGGCTTTTGGTCACTCAGTTGTTACATTATGTTAATGTTCCTTACGGCTTCATTCAGACATGACAGCACATTTAATGAAAGAGCCACAATGCCTGTGCAATATCTGGCAGTAGAGAGAGAGCAGAGAACAGCTGTGAGTAAAAAAAACTGTTATGATAGCTGGAAGAGGACCATTATTTGATCTCTCACAGGCTGCATCACTGATGGATTTTAATGTGGCTGAATGATGGTTGAAGCTTTGATTAATAACCATCGTTGTGAGAGCGAGGCACACTTACCCCCACTTCTCACTGTAAATCCACTGATATGTTTTGATGATGGTAATGATAATTATGAATTTCATCATCAAGTTATCAGAGAGCACATTTTGCCACCTGTTTTATAAAGTATGACAGTTTAGAAGTATTGAATGACAGGACCTGGGACTCTTGTTTTATTCCTATGAGTCACATGCTGGATGTAAAGGAGTTGTATTACTGTGGGTTTAAATAAAAAAAAAAGAAAAACTATTTTGCACAGGTTATACCGTGAGGGGAGAAATAGTTTTACACACTGATCTGACAAGAGAAGAACCTCCTCAACAACTCAAAATTGGCTCTTTAATAGTGTTTCATATAGCATCTTAAACTGACTGCGATACATTTATGATGAAGCACGATCTCCATCTCTCTCGGTTAGACGTGGGTGTCGCTGCAGCCATTACATTGATCTGACAGCATCTACAGAGAAGGCTACAGGGTCCCACCTAGTGAGATTTCTGTCCTGACTTTAATGTAAAAGTGACCGCGGTGCTTATTCAGACGTCAGACAGACATGTTGAATTGCCATCAGATTAGTGTAAAAAGGTACATGTCTGAAAGGGGTGTATTTCAAGCTACTTTCAGCCTCAAGGTTGAAACTTTTCTAATCTTGCAGTTTCCTTACTGTCAGATCGTGCTGTTTCTCAAAGCGGTAATGGTGTCCTGCTGTCACTCTTTCTTCTCGACCTATCTGGCGGGCCATTGGCTAACAAAAGCATCACGCCGCTAATTGAAACCTTACTTGGCGGGTAACACATTTTCAAAGCAGTAGAACTGCCCCGGCTATGATTAATACACACCTGTCATAACTAACTACATTAATACTGAAGAATGATTAGGCCTGTCTTGCCGTGTCTTCCACTAACCCTCTACCACTCTATCACACTCTGCACTCTTGATTAATGGATGTGAGGTGGCACATGACGTTGCGGAGATAAACACTAAGAGATCATATAAACAAGACCTGAGAGCATCCAGAGAGGGCTCTCAAACTTACTGAAGCACATCTCCAAATTAGGTTTGAGATGAAGAACCTTTGTTGAAGATATTTTTAAGCATGTTAAAATCTTTACATGATACCTCAGAGTACTGCAAAGGCTGCACTTTTTATTGACATGGGCAGATTAGGACACGTGACACCAAAAGAGACTTGTTGAAGAGTCTTGAGAGGGTCTCATCAGTGATCGACGGGCCATTACGAGAAAGGCTGCACATGAGACCGTTTTTGGATTTGGTGAGAGGAGACTGTGTGATTGATGTCTAAAAGGAATGGCGTATAATCAGCAGTTAGCGTGCACGATTCAACGCCAGTCTCTAAATAAATTAAATATTGTGAAGAAATGATGGGTTCACAATTGAGTAATCAAGTGTCTTGAAAGGCTATCATTTGCTTGATTTTACACATCTAGCAATCATTGTTTGGTTCTTACATTTTTGACTGATTGTGGAGCGGCTTTTTTGTTCTGAATATTATGTCATTTATATCAAAAATTCTTGGCTTGATTGTCATGACTGCGACAACTTAGGCGGTAAAACACAGCATGCAAACATATATAAGTTAAACTAAATCGATGATTTTACCCGCTGTATTTTTTAAACTCATCAAGTCATGATTTTTGTGTTTTCTTTTAGACCACGAGCGAATCGGGAAAGACTCATCCTACGAACAAGAGGGGAAGGTCCAGTTTGTGATTGACGCAGTTTACGCCATGGCTCATGCTCTACATAACATGCACAAAGATCTCTGCCCTGGGAAAGTTGGCCTCTGCTCCAAGATGGAAACCATAAATGGCACACTGTTGCTCAAGTACATCCGCAATGTCAACTTCACAGGTGTGTACTCCTAATTCATCTGAACTCATCTGAATGTGAATACTGTACATAAAGTGGCAAGTATTGTTCAAAATGTATATGGTATCATCAGTTTACTTGTTCCAAAGCAATCTTAACTGTATAACTGAATCATTCTGAGGCGTTTGTGCGGCGCTATCTGAAGCAACTTGAATGTCCTTTTTATTTTTGGGTTCGCCAACGTGCTCATGAAGAGGCTTTGTGAGTATACAGTGTTCTCCAATTATCAGGCTACTGAATGTAAATTACTCCCAGCAAGTAAAAGAGGCTGAGAACTGTAGGAGGGTTGTCAATCAGTGGCAGAACAGCGTGTTTTATCATAGTTGATGATGTGCAGGGACTGTGCTTTGTGAGATTTCCCGCCTTATCTTGTCAGCATTGAATTGCCCACGCAAGAGATCCCCTGCTTGAAGTGCACAGGCTGTGGAATTAAAATTGTACATAAATGAGAAGGAGAAGAGTGTTAACACACACAGCGCCATCAAAAACAGGCATCAGTAGTTTTCCACTTGCTGTTCTATGTAGACCTAGAGGGCTTTCACATCAGGCACACACCCTGGATCTGAGTACACTTGACCCTAAAGTCCAGTTTGTTTGATTAGTGTGAGCAATGTGTACCACGCCCGGGCATTGTATGCCTATCCATTCCTGAGTCCACTTGAAAAGGTGGTCTCAGAGCTTTGCCTGCTCTGCCGGTCCCCGTGGATGGTCCCCAAGGCAACAGTGTCCGTCTGCAGCACCCTTTTCTACACAGCAGCATGACAAAAATGTCACTTAGATGATGATGTGAGTGCACTTGGATAAGGAACAAAATTACTAATGTGAAAGTTTAGCACCAGGGAGTAGGAAGAAGGGGGGACTATCAATCACTTGTACCGAATATTCAGATGCTCTTACATGTAATGTTACTGGCCAACACTCATCTTTGAAGAAAAAGTACAAGTTAAATACGTTTCTATACACACAACACAGGTCACATACTTGACCCTTGCAAGTTACTCTCTTTAAACCATCAGCTTATCACTCAAAATGTAACAGAGTGCCAAACTTTTGGCGTCCCCTCCTTTCGAGCCTCTGTAACTTTATCCAATCTTTCTGAAAAAATGAAACGAGTTCCCAGAGTTTACTTTCCACATCCTAACAAATTGGATTGGCCACCACTACTAGAGCCAGACTGATAAATCAGCCATGTTGCTGTATCATCTTATGGCAGATATATCGTACCTGTGTATTTTTCAGCTGATAAGTAACAAGAAATTTTTAGTACAAACAGCCAAACTAGGTTTGAGGCAATTTCAAAAGTTCTCTCATTCCTGTTGTTATTACTAGCTGCTGCCCTTTCACTCACACATGGACTTGCTTCTTTATCGAGTTGTGATGTTTAACCTCAAGTGGCCTGCGGGTTAAAGGGATATGCTGTTCAGTAAAGGCGGCAAAAAACTGAAACACTGAAAAGTAGGACCACTGCTTTGGGTTTGTGTGCCCCCGCCAACCAGTCAAGTTGCAGGTTACTAATAAAACTCTCCACGTTATGAACAGTGGTTACATGAGCCTCAAAACCAGCCACAACTCAGCCCTGAGCAGAGTGACCGTCCTCTATTGACCAATCAACAGACTGCAGTGTTCACAGCTCCACCTTTTAGTACCAGATCTGTGTGCTAGGTACCCCAACAGAGGGGGGACCAAAAATGGGGATGGTATGGAACATTTCCATTGGTGCCATCCACAACTTTTCACAGTGGAAACGGAAAGAAATGCGTACTGAACTGATCTGAACGGTACTATACTGCTCGGTGGAGACTGGGCTTAAGTGCTCGACCGAAGTCTTGCTGACAACCTTACATGTCATCTCACATGGCATTAACCGCTGTTTTATCACAATGATGCAAAAACATTTCAATTGTGATAGTGTGCCAGTGTTAGCCGAGAAATTTTAGAATTCCACGTCATAGCTAAAGCTGCACCTCATTTTGAACTGTTCGTTGGTCACTGTCCTGCATGAGAACAACTAGAACATTTACTTACAGAACAACTGGACCACATGTGTATACAGCACCTAAATGATTTACACATTACGACAAAAGTCTCCTCAGTGGATTTTGCGCAGGAATAGCTTTGTTGACCTAATTGTTTTAGACACTGACATTGTTTCATCTTCCACTATCCATCTTTGATGACTGCTTTTGGAAATATTTAAGAGGATGAACATAATAAAATATTTAAAGAGTGCAGGAACTGATATAAAGAAGGTTGGAAGGTTATAATTAAGTGTCTCAACACGTGCATGATTCTACAAATGTAAAAAAAAAAAATTATAACATAGCAACAAGTAAGATGCACTTTTAAACTGTGAAAATTAATTATAGGCCTGCATGTACAAGAATAGGTGCATACTTATGGAGGTCATGAAAGCAGCATGTGCACAACTTTAACCTGCTGGCTTCTGAAGAAATAATATTAATGTACACAGAGTGGGATCTGACTTAGGTCAGCGTTAGTGGTTGTAACGACTTGAGCTAATTATGCGTCAGATGAGTAGAGGGTCAAAGTGTTCGTGCAATCAAGCAGAATGCAATGCAAGCAGTGTGACGCAGTCTCAAATCTCCACCACCCTCACAGATGATTATACGGTAAAGGATGCATTTGTTTGTGAGACAATTATAGGGTGGGATCTTTAGGTGTGGGGCAGTCACACCACAGCAAGTACATGACAGGAATAATTTGCAGTAAATGAGCAGAGGGAAGAAACTTCTGCATGAAGTGAGACACTTGCCCACTGCTGCGGTATTCAGAGTGGCTGAGAACTGACAGAAAAGGAAACAAGTGGGAAGCCAGGGCTTAACCCAAACTTTTATGGGAAACAATAGCGTACAGTACATCTCAACTCGGCTCTGCTGGTGAAAATGTGCATTATCAGGGAAAATAAGTAGTTAGTGACTCCAGAGACTGTCCTCAAAAGAACAGCTTTTGTTTCTTGCTCAAAGGCCTTAGACGACCAGTGGTCACCCATTATGTCTGTATGTGGGTTTTACAAATGCTTAACCAATGAAAGGTATTAAAAAGTGCTTGTCACTCCATTGGATCCTCAAACTGTTGGCAAAATGTTATAGCTCCGCCCCACCTCCACTGAATTAAGTGCAGTAATTGAGCATCTTTGGTGCCACACAGAGCGGAGCAAAAGGTAAACAGTGACAAGGTAATTTAGTCTGACTTCTTAAATAAAGAATTGGTTGTTTGAATCGGTACAGCTAATTCTTAACTCAAAAACGCTCTGTTACTAATTGCCACCAGCCTGCTGTGACCTCCAGGGCTAGGGTATGCGCTAACTGAATTTGACTTGCTGGAGCCACCACTGATTGTCCATCACCGGAGCTACTGCCCTCTCTCCTCCTGGCAAATAGTCTCCTGGTGGCGGGAGTCAAGGCACAGGGAACACAGGGTACACTGGCTAGGTAGTTCTTGTCTCATTTTTGGTCTGATAAACAGAGAGACAGGGGGAGAAAGAGAGATTCTGGCCAAATGTTTTCAACTACAGGAAAAACTGAGCGCACAAAAAGCTGCAATAAACCTTTTAACCTGTAATTTGATGATAACGTAATGCAATGCACTTATTGCCTCAGAAAGGGCAATTCTAATCAGTGATGGACAAAGCAAAGTTCAGACCAAAGATTTGTGAAGAGACTAGTTGAAATGTGCAACTACTTGCAATGCACTGTTCTGCAACTTTCTAAAAACCTGCTGGCTCACACTAATGTAACTAGATGAGACAATGTATCATCTCTATGCAACAACTCTGTACTTCTGTTCTGATTTCCAGCTTTTCAGGCTTAATTTGTGGCTGAATATAATTTGTAGCTTCTTAAAATATGAATGAGGATAGTAATAGTGAGATAATGGCTACAGCTGCGTTTGTAGTAGTGATGAAACTACAAAAACATTAACAAAAGGAGCATCAGATGGACTGTATTCATAATAAATACGCCACAATGACACAAATAACCAGCACCAATTAATCAGTCAGTAAGAATGTGTATGTGTGTGGGTCATTTTCACTTGACCACTGAACCTCACTACAAGCTTACTGGCTGTTGAAATGGATGACGTGCTTTACGTTCTAAAAGCAGCTACTAGTGATTTGGCCATCTGAGTTGCAGGTAACACCATCGGCCAACTTCAGTCGAGCTCAGACCAACCAGTTCACACCGCTGCAACTTTTCTCTGCAACATTTTAAAATGGTTTTGTAACGTCATGAATCATCTGAGCTGGGCCCAAGAATAAATCTCAATATTTACTGGTCAAAAACCTCATAACTGTATTTGATATAATGACAAATGCAAATATCCAACCATATATTAAGACACAGCACCAACTTTGACAGTGCAGTGTTCAATTATTTTTAAAACAAGTAGCGGTTTTGGGCATGCACGGTTTCTGCCAAACAGCAGCTATAGGTTATCTACCAGTGTGACACTACTGTTTGTTTCCCATTTTTCTACAGACTTTTGACCACTGTTTTTGATTAACCTCTAAACCGCAATCATATTCCCTACCCTAAACCAAGTACCGTTAGTAGGGGTGGGGGAAATTTCCGATTCTTAGATGCATCGCGATTCGGACGTGGACGAATCTGAATCGATTCACAAACGTCCATATTTCGATTAATTAGAGTAATACAGAAGTTTCTAAATGATGCAGAACTAAGAAGCGCGGTACGCGTCATCTCCGGGACACTTTGGGATGCGCACCTGGAGTGGACACGCCGACACGCGCACAGAGGAAAACAAACATAGTTGACCGCCACCCACCTCGCCGTGAGATCCGAACAGCTCCTTCTAATTTAAAAGCAGACGTGTGGAAATACTTCGGCTTCTACAACGTTGACGGCGGAAGCGAACTGGACAAGAGCCACGTTATATGTAAGCTGTGTCGTGCTAAAATAAAATACTTTGGCAACACAACAAACATGAGAAGCCATGTAACT